ACAAAAAGCCAGCAGGACCCACAGGTATGCACAGCTGCCCTCTGGACAGCCTCTTTCCCCCTCCTTTTCTTTTTTCCTCCATTCAGCACCTGTCTACTTCAGTAACTCAGAAAGTAAAGAATTCCCACAGCACTGGAAGTTCCACAAGAGGAGTCTTAACATCCTCTACAATTACAACCTTAGGTCCTGACTCTGCAGTCTCTTCTAAGCTGAAAGGATAGAGCAGCTCTATAATCTGGAGATAAGGAAAGAAAAAACATTTGAGCACGTGTATCTCCCTGTTCAGCACACGTTATGTATCTCAATATCCCTTCAAATTGCAGCTCTGCTTCTGCCAATGTGACACCTTTGCTCTGAGGAGAGTGGCATGACTCACATCCTCAGCTCATGAGGTTCTGCAGTGAGTTCTGGTGAAAATGAGAGAGTAGAAGACTGCATGCACATTTGATATTGTATACTCCAGCTATCCCATTTAACATGCAAAAAGAAGGGAAAAATATGCTGGGGTCTCTGCTGTTACCTTACCACCATATACCTGTGAGAGATGATTTTTAACTTGTTCTGCTACCTCAAAACCTACTGGAAGCAGTAGAAGGGATTTTATTAGCATCTTAGGCATTAAGGAGCTGGGTCTCTTTAGCTTGGAGAAAAGGAGACTGAGGGGTGACCTCATCAATGTTTACAAATATGTAAGGGGTGAGTGTCAGGGGGACGGAGTTAGGCTTTTCTCACTGATGACCAGTGATAGGACAAGGGGTAATGGGTGTAAGTTGGAGCATAGGAGGTTCAAGGTGAATACCCAAAAAAAATTTTTTACTGTGAGAGTGACAGAGCCCTGGAACAGGCTGCCCAGGGAGGTTGTGGAGTCTCCTTCACTGGAGACATTCAAAACCCTCCTGGATGCGTTCCTGTGTGATGTACTCTAGGTGACCCTGCTCTGGCAGGGGGGGTGGACTAGATGATCTTTCAAGGTCCCTTCCAACCCCTAAGATTCTATGATTCTGTGATTAAACTAGACAAATGCCTGCTGCTCCCTTCATTCTCATCTTTATCCAGCTCCACTGATCTGTCAGATTCCTCATCACAAGGGTGAATTTCACCTGAAGAGGGTGAAGCCTTCAACATGATAGCAGTGCTGCAGCCAAAAATCCTGCTCTAAATGCAATGGGTGACTGGATATGGAGAGCTTTTCTATATTTGCTAATCAGCATCTTCTTTTTAGAGGCAGAAAGTACAAAAGAATCTCTGCAAATAATTAAACACCCTAATTCTGGATTATCTCTGATTAATGAAGAGGAAGGTGCAGTATCTCAGGAGCCCGGGAATGCTGGGCTGCGATTATGTCATAATTGATCCCTGTTGTTTCCAGCTGAAGTTTATCTATCTCATTTTCTCATTATTGTCTCCTCTCAACTCCTTATAAATTAGATCCAACTATTAGCAACAATTGTTGTGTTTTCCTTTAAATACAGCCTACACACAGTGCTGTGGGGATAATGCAAAATAAAGGGCTCCAAACTGTAAGCTAGTTTCATATGTGTGCATAATTTTAAAAAGGGCCATTGCTGCTATTTCCAATCTAACTTCTCTCAGCCTGCAGGGATGGTTTCTAGGGACTTTTGGGGTTTATTCTTCTAGTTTGCAAGTGTGTTCTAAGGCTGCAGTTTTCACCCTGTATGTATCCACAAGGCTGTGTGGACCTTATAAAGATGCTGCTGCATTGTCAGGACTGGCATCCCCTGCACAATGATCTGCACCCCTTTAGGGAAATAGCTGGGGCTTTGCAAATTGATTAAAAGCTCAAAAGTCTTTGGTAGTAATAGAAAGAGTAATAGAAGAGGAAGGAAGTGAGAACTTCTCAGATCTCTCCCAGTCTGTTCCAAAAAATGCCTTAGCCTATGCCTTACTCTTTGTCTCTCTGAGTCAGTTTGCTTGTAGTTAAGAGTGTTAATAATACTTTCCCTCACTCTACTGGTGCATGTGACCCTTTGAAGCATTGATAATTTCTGCACTCCAGCACATCTACATAAATGCACCTGTCTGACCCAAAACCTTAGTAAGAGCTCAGTATGGGATTCCTCACATGGTATCACAGGCTGGAGAAGCACTGCCTATGTATCTCTACTGTCCAGAGGAGAACACCTATGCAAGCACCAGCTCTGCAGCTCTAGAAGACTAAGATTCACATTTTGGTGGTGGCAAGATGGCAACCATCACATGCAGATCTCTCCCACCCTTGCCTCTTCACCAGATGCTCTCTAATGTTTTGTAAGAACAAAGCTGCTTGGAGCCAAGATAAGCTCTTAGCATTGGATCTCTAGCATACAATGATACGATAAAATACCTTCTGGAGTAACCCAAATGCATTCTATACAGCTGTCCTCTATGGCTTGTAATATGTACATGCAGACTTCTGATAACTTTTACACAATTCCTTACTATTTCTCATAACACCAGAGGGAGGAGCATTCAGTATTTAGTCCAATGCAAATAATAGGAAATTAATTTTCACCCAATAAATTGTAAAATTTTGCAACATTCTGCAGTAGAAAGTTGTGGAGGACAAAATGTAAGTGGATTCAAAATGTACTTGCTGAGTTTGTGTCCATCAGTGCCCATTGCAAGCAATGTGGAAATTCTGGATGTAACTTTGCCTTAAGTGGTCCTTGTGCTGCTGCTGATTGGACTTTAGAAAGGGGTAACCAGGAACACATTTGCTTTTTAAGCTTTCTTCACAAGCATTTTTATTGGCCAGTTCTGAGGACAGGATACTCAGCTAGACAGACTTTCATGGTAGCTATACAACCTTTCTTACATTCTGCTTTTTCCACTTCCAGGGTGTGCATTTGTGAAATATTCTTCACATGCGGAAGCCCAAGCAGCCATCAATGCCTTGCATGGCAGCCAGACAATGCCGGTGAGTAGCTCCGTAACACAGGCCAGTGACCATTGGTCCAGCCTTTGCTGCCCTGCGGTCTGACTGGGGAGGAAGGATGATTTTTCTCTGCAACTCCTCTTCCAGGAAAGATGAATAACATCTCAGGCATGCCAGGCCTTGGGTGTGTTTAACTCATCAGTAGAAAGGCTAGGATGCCACTGCCATTTCACACAGGGGCAGAACCCCAAAGTGTACCGTGTTTGGCTACCAGCAATTCTGATGACCTGAAAAAAAGACATATGGTTCAGTGATGCCAAAAACATTGGGTCAAACTCACCATGAGTCTAAGCTTTCAAGTTTCAGAGGGATGAGTCAAGTAAAAAATTGTGTCTAAGGGTTTCTTGGTTTTCTCTCTGCAAAGAGTCTCAGCCTCTAGGTGAAGGATGAAGAACTTTTTGCCAGCATTCAACAGAGAGCAGCATGTTCAAATAATGGCACTAGAAGCTAGACACAGATCACACAGTGATGGGAGCCTCTCACTGCTACTACAAATGTGCCTGCCTAGGCATAAATGTGGCCCCACATCTGAGTTTTGAAAAACAGTCAGAACAACTACTGTATCTTCCAGGAAACACTTGAGGGATGACTTCACTTGGATTAGATTCTAGTAATGTGGAGGTTTGAGCCTGATAGTTCAGGAAAGTGGAAGTGGAAATGTATTTTCCATGAAAAATTATATTTGTACACCATCACACAGACCAAGAGGAATGTAAGGTGTTCCACTGTCAGCAAGGAAAGACAGTATGGTCCAAAATGTTTAGGTTTATTATAATAGTATATTATTTTTATTACTAATTATTCACAGTGTAAATCATGAAAGGCTGAGGAGTATGCCAACAACTTGGAAAGGATACAGGAGAGGTCAATTTAAAGGATTTAGGAGTGTAAAATCTCCCTTTCAGTAAGAGACTGTAATGTAAATTCATGAATTTATCCAAATAAGTTGTAAATGGAGCTAGCAGATTGTCTCTAGGCCTTTGCAGAGACAAAAATGAAGAATTTTACAGGGGAAAAGGTTTCTAAAAATAACAAATCATCAAGATCTAATTTTTTTTTAACCCTATCTTAGACAAATCAGTTTAAAAATGGTACATGTTTACCAGGGACACTACTAAAAAAATCTCCTTAAAGATGAGGGTCTCAATTTTTTTAAGTATTACAATACTTTTAGGAGTCTTTTCCTGGAAGCTTTTTTTCCAACAAAAAAAGAAGTTGACATCACATAGTGAAATACCAGGGGTATTATTTCTGAGACAGGTCAAATAGGTACTTTTAATTACTTTCTTTTGAATGTTGACTCAAAGTGATTGTGTCTATAGACTGACATTAGGATTTGTTGTTCCATAGGGTGTGGTTACTAAAATGTATAATAAAAATTCAGTCCCCGTCCCCAGAGTATTACGAACTCATGTGACAGAGGTGTGAGGAAGACAGGAGAAAACATGTAAAACCCAAGGGAAGTGGAAAATTTTGCCTACATCAAGTATATAAAAAATATCCTTATCCTCTCCCATCACTTGTCCTTCCTACTTTCAGAACATTTTAGATAAGAAAAAAAACCTTACCTTTCTACCACTTGAGGGAAAATTTCTGTTCCATCCTACTGACTACAATTGACTTTAGAATGTGCAAAACAGTGAAGAATATGGCCATTTCGTAAGTCAGATTTTTATGGGGCCGCTGATTTACTTGGCTTAAATACATGCCATAGAAAAGTTTTTGAATAACTAGATCCTGAGCATCTCAAAAGTGTCACAATTTAATCATTGCTAGATGCACATCCCAGCCTCACAATTAAGTTTCCATGGCTTGACAAGTTTCCATGAATTGGCTGAAAATGAGCAGCAGCCCATGTAAGTACCCCTATTTTACAGGAAAGGCAAGTAGAAAATTATTAATTTTATCCTCTTAATTATAAGGTATGTGGCATTGCCTTGTGTCTTGCATGAGCTACAAGCAGGCACACAGGTGGTTACCATGGCTAGTGAGGACCTGTCAAGTGACCACCACTTGATGAAGATGTGAAGTACACACTGTTTTCCCCACAGGGCCTCAAAATGCTTAAGGCACTTTGAATGAGATGGGCCAAATCCTGAAAAGACTGTGCAGCTTGTTTCAGGTCTTGGATGTTCACAGAGAAATGCAGCCACCTCGTGGTGAGATGGCAATGTAGCCCTCGTCCTTGGAAAGGAGGGGTGCCTTGCTACCATCTTCCTTCAGTCCCCCCTCCCATTCCTCTCACCATTAAGACTGGCCTCATTTGTTCGGTTCTGGTGCCAACTCAAAGTTGTTCCTGTGGTTCAGCCAATTTAAACGTCTCTTGTCTTGTCCTCGTGTACTACCAACGGGGCATCCATCGTCATTCTTGTCAGGTCTCGAGCCGTTCATTCCTGCAGCAGACTCCTGTTTCTCCACAGCTGTCAGGATTATTGCTCTACTGTGACTTCCTGTTCACACAACATATGTTGCCTAATAGTTTCAAAAGGCAACTTTCTTTTATGAAACTTTTTTTTTTCTTTTCTTTTTTTTAACCTTTCCCTGGACAGGTGCCTGACCACCGTCAGTCACAAGCCAGCTTCTCTATGCAAGGCACCTGTTTCTGCTGAGGGTCCACCAAACAGGTCTATGGCTTTCCATTTTTCACACAATCAATTACTTTTAGAAATATCTTTTCCAAAACCCTTATTTTGAGCAGGCCCAAAGTTCCTTCTGTATCTACCTGCCAAGGAGGCTTTTTAAATCATATTGCCTATCAACTCATCAGCTTTACAATAGCATTTCACTGGACCTTCATGTTCTTCTTTATGAGAGATCATAATTTTCATGTCCTTTTGCATGTATTCATAATGTATTTATAACAATTACATGCCCTGTACTTTTAGCTTTGTTTACTCTGTTTCCTCTAGTCTCTCTTTCCCATTCATGGGGGCATAAACAGGTCTTTCCTCCTTCCTCATCAAAACATTGTCACTAGCAGCCTTATCCACCAACACAAATTCAGCTACTATTTCTGTAGTGACAGATTGCAGATCTAGGTTCTCTACTGCAGGAGTGACTCTTGTCCAGCCTAAATCTTGGCCTGTCTTTCTAGCATCTCCAAGTGGGTGTCTAGCTGTCAAATCAAACTCAGTATGTATAAAACAGAGCTCTTGAACTTTTTCTCCCAAACCCTGTCTTTTCTCTCTTCCACTTCCATTCTTATTCACTGTGGACAACATTATCATCCTACCTGTCAGTCATACTCCTACCTAGGCATCATCTTCAGCTTGATTTTCTCCTTCTCTTTTTGTCTTCTTATCTGAGCAAGAGCCAAATTTTGAAGAGTTGTTCTGTACAATGCATCTAACACATCTAAGATATTGCCTTGTCCGTCCACCCACACAGAATAAACTCTCCTCCACACTTCATCACACATACCTAAAACATAGCAGCCTTTATCCAACCCAGAAAGTATAAGGGGTTAGAATCTATACTACTGTTGCACCTTTTTCACCATCTCACCCACAGTGTCACCTCAGAATTTCCTTTGTTATGAATTAATTCCTGGAAGGGATGGAGCTGTACTGTTATCTGCATATTCTACAGAGGTGAGAAGTGAAGAGTGTGATTCATTTTCTTTAGCTTTAGCAGTCCAAAATCTGTTCTAAACATCTGAAAGAATTCCTACAGAAAGGAGAAACAGTAATTTCTGCAGATTTGTGCATGCTTCCCTTTATTTATTTGTGCTAGAATGGTCTAAATCATCTTTTGGCCATGCCTGTCCCTTCCACTAATTATAATGGAGATCTCCATAATGACATTAGACTGAATCGCTGAGGTGGGACTCTCACCTACTTTGAGATATCCAGCATCTAAGGAACTATGTCTGACTTTGTCATCCGTTTGTCATCTAAGTTTCAATTGGAATCAATAGAGAGAAAAAGATACCTTGAAGGAATTTCATTTTACAGAAATAGATTTTGAACCCTGTCAAACCAAAACCCAAATAGAAGTGTGGGGTTTTTAGATAATTTTAGGTGTTGCATACCTATGGTCTGCCAGTTCCAAAATAGTGATTCTTTACCTCAAGTGCAAATCAGAAAGGAAAAATACCCATACTGCTTAAAATAAAAAGCTAAAACTGCTTCCTGCAGATATCTCAGAGTCTGTCATTGCCTTTGTTCACCAGTGATACACCCTTGCCACCCTGAAATCCCTTCTGCAGCCCTTGTCACTGTCACGAGTAATCTTGCTGGAGCTGAAGATCTGGGATTACTCTGTACTAGCTAACATTAACCACCAGCAATTCAGATATTAAAGCTGTTCCCTTGGCCTCCTGTCTTATGGTGATTCCTCCCACATAGCTCAGACATGTAGTATAAGATTGCCTGACGGAGCCAGGGAGGCATTTGCCTCCCATTGAGTGTGCAAGGATTGGACACCAAACCTCATGTCCAAGGCAAGGGAAGACGAATCCTGTTCTGGGTGTTTGGTGCCAAGTTAAAGCAATTTGGGATTCAGAAAGCAGACATCCCACATCTGAGTCCTCTGACTCCTGATTCATTTGGTGCATTGTGAATTGCCTCATGCACTAATTGTCAGCATTATATTCATTCTATATTAGTTTTTTATTAATTAAATCCAAGGCCATTGTGGCTTCCAGAACCCTCTAAGGTGGCTTTTTCCACCACACAGGCCACGTCCTCCTTTTTTTTTTTACTACAGAAGTCTGAATCAGCTTGGTCAAACCACAGCATTTCTTCTGCATCCAGGCATTAGCATCCCAAGTCTATCTATGCCTGGCTGAACATCTTCCATGAAACTTACTTTTTTGGATGGAATCCTTGGCCTTGTGAGAAGAAAAGAAAATGTGAGACTTGGATACAAGCACTCAACAGATGTCTACTTTTCAGAGAAAGATTTAACTTAGTTGAACTTAAAAAAAAAATTTATATATATATAGTGTACTGCAACCCAGAACTTCGTTAACATGGGAACTT